GGTGCGTCTGCTGCAGCGCGCCGATGTGTGTCTTGCCAAGTACCCGCTGGAGGTTGTCCTGATCCCATGAAGTGGGAGGGGGTGACGCGCCGTAGTTGTACTCGTGCTGCTGCTGCTGCTGCTGCGCCTCAGCTGAGTTCGGAAGCAAGCAGACATGGCAATACTAACAATGACGCTAGCCAGGTATTGGCAGTGAGGGTGCTATTGTGAAGGCGTTGCTGCTTTTGTTTGTGGAGGTTCCGTCTTTGCTCTATCTGTATTGAAGCAGAAGAAGAAGAAGCACCATAGAAGGGTGTGTGCGAGGCGCATGACAGATTCACGGGAGAAGCCGGAAGAGCCTGGCCCCGAGGTGGAGGTGAGTCCTTCGGGCCTGTGCGAGGGAGACGCTGAGGATGCCGGCAATGGCCAAAACGGCTTCCACGACCTGGTGCCCACCAGCCTCGCCGAGCTGACGGCGAACGAGGAGGCGCACACCACCTCACATCTCGTGGAGGGCGACTTCTTCCCAGATGACTCGCCAGCACGTGTGGAGTTGGGTGCCGCCGGCGAGCGCTACAATTTGGCTGTGGGTTCGGTGCAGGGGCGAGAATTGGGGCATCGCTTCGAGCATGAGCAGGAAACGCCGACCGGGATTGGCAGCAGCAGCAGCAGCGGCGGCAGCAAGGAGGACGCTTGTGTGGAGAGCGGCGATGGTGTGTGCCCGTCACGGTTTCCGCCAGCGCGGCGTGTAGTCAAACGCGTGCGTTGGGCTGACGAGGGTGCGGCGCCCACTACGCTGCTGCAGCAGCAGTCATCTACTGATTCTGTCAGAACGGGGCTGACGTGTCCACCACCACCCGTTCTCCGCGAAGTGAAGAACACGGATGGGACAGCGTACCTCTCGTGCAGGGCGCTGCGCCCGGCCCAACGCTTCGTTCTGTGGAAGCGCAGGATGTCGACAGCCAATGGGGGTGTGAGGGAGGAGACACCGTTTCGTCCGCAGCCGCACGGCGCCGTCTCCCCCACGCAGGATGTCACGCTGCTCGCCGCCCTCCACCCGCCGTACCGCGCCGAGCACATCGGGCCAGCGGTGCGGATGCGCGTCGCCGAGATTGCCGAGAGCGCGAAGAAGGGAGTGGCGCTCTGCGACGGTGGTCTTCAGATGCCAATGGTGCGAGCCTCTGAGCTCCGCAACGTCCCACTGCGGATTCCGTTTTGAGCTGGAGGGAGGGGCAAGCAAGAGGGGGTGGGGAGCTTCTTCTTACCTCCTCCTCCTCCTCCTCCTCTGTGGTAGGAGTGTGCTGTTTTTTTCCGCGCTGCTGTCGGCATGGCCGTTTTTGTTTGGTTGGCATAGGTGATTGGGTGATGTCCGATATGCGCTCAAGGGCCACGTAAGCTTGAGTGGTGGTGGGCGACTCTCAGAGAGGTGATTCCACTCAGCCTCATGAACAGACCCTGAACGCACCTCGTGGTATTGTATTGTTGTTGTTCCGTGTCTGGTTTACCGTGGAATGCTGTGTGGCCTGCCGTGGGCTCTTCCCTTCCTCCACACACCCACCCCCTGTCGTGCTTCACTGCCATTCTCAAGTACCAGTGAAGCAATACAAATATATTGTGCTGCTGCTATGAGTCTCATCAGGCGGTCCAACTGCCTATCGTCACTGTGAAGGACGACAGTGTGGCACGAGATGACGCCACCCACCAATAAGTACAAGGTCCGTCGACATGGGCCAAGGAGCCCCCCGCTTTCCGCCGTCCCCATTCCCCCTGCTGGAGCAGCAGCGCATTAACGAAGAAGGCGCCACCACATCCGTCGCTTGTCAGTATGCATGAGCGCAGGGTGGCCTCTAGCTCGTGGCGGATATAAAACGGCTTTACGAGGGGCGTCTCTCTGAGTCAGAGATTGCGGAAAGCAGCATCCATATCACAAACAGCACCACGCAGGGGGCTCAGCGTGGCGTTTCGGGCGCTGCTTAACCTGGGCAATAAGGTGGTGGTGTTTGGGCCCTACTACGATGCCTACGTGCCTGATATCCAGCTGGCAGGTGGTGTGGTGAAGTACGTGGAGCTCATCCCCAGCGGCACTGGACATGCGGATGCGTGGCCATAAAGCAAGGGGAGTTGAACGCCGCCGGGACACATAAGACGTAGGCGATACTCACCGATACGCCGTACAACGCGTCAGGGNCGAGGGGCGTCTCTCTGAGTCAGAGATTGCGGAAAGCAGCATCCATATCACAAACAGCACCACGCAGGGGGCTCAGCGTGGCGTTTCAGGCGCTGCTCAACCTGGGCAATAAGGTGGTGGTGTTTGGGCCCTACTACGATGCCTACGTGACTGATATCCAGCTGGCAGGTGGTGTGAGAGGACGAGAGCAGAGTAAATGAGTCGTATGGACATGCCGTGAGATGTCTTGTTCACTGGTTTGGATGGATTTGGTGTGGTTGCATTAATTGTACTGTGTTTTTCCTGTTTCTGCTGCGGTTGTTGTTGTTGTTGTTGTTGTTTGGTGGTATTGTCTTTGTTTATATTTTTTGGTCTCTTTTGCGTTGGTCGGCGTTTATTGGAGGTTTTTTTTTTTT